TTTCATTTACAAGTTAAGTAAATAACTTATATAATATAATATAAAGGTATAATAGTAGTTATGTAATCTAATTACTCTACATTCTAAATCGCACTATGTCCGTATTGTTTTAGCTAGCCATCACTACTAAAGCTGTCCACACGATCTATTTTTTTTTTGTGGCAAAAAATGATATGCCCATATTTGGGTGTAATATGACATTATCATACTGATATATGGGCACATCACTCAAAGTAACAGTGAGGACAGAGCTTCAGAAACAAATTTCAGAATACATGATATTAATTTTATCCGGCTCAACGAATATTGAGCGGGGTAACCAGTAGTGGTAGAAGGGGAATATTCGATGTACAATGTGGTTTTCTTTTGTGTTTCAGCTATTTTTGCTGCCGTGACGGCATTAGCAATGTTCAAATTCCTAGCAGTTTTAGGCCTTCCAATGCTAGCATTTTCGTTTTGCCTGAATGCCAGTCTTTTCTTATTGGTGACATCAGAAGTCGAATTACATTTTGTGAAGATACCGCTTGATCAGGTCACGTGGCCAGAAGACAACTGGAAGAGATACAACAATCGAACAAACTCCGTAGGGTTACACAACTCAACTGAATTAGCCTAATTTATTTTTTAGAACTTGTGAATATATAAAACTGAAATGTAAATACTGTATACTGTGTATATATATATATATATATGATGTAATATTAAGATTATTTTCAAAATAACAAAGTGCATATTTTACCGGCTCGCACATATATTTTACTTATGGCTCACTAAATAATAATGGAGTCACGGAGATGTGTAAACAAATCATATGCGTTTTACCGGCCAGTTGAATTATCCCTATAGAAGCCCTAATAAAATAATTTGTTTTCTCATTGATCATATTTGTTTGTTTCTTGTTTATTCAGTAAATTCACATTACATTAAAGAAACTGTACCAGAATAAGCTATAAAGCCACAGGGCTTAATTCCAATGCAGTCGTCGTGCATTTAAAGATTAATAGGCCTATATATAGCCTATTTAATGCTTCCTGTCCAACATTCTATGTTGTTATATTTGTTCTTATTATGTTTCTTGGCAAAAACAAGCTTTTAGAATTCCCTTTACAATAGAGATATGCCGATAAGTAAACTTCAGGTTTTAAGTAAAGATACGTCGATTTATATTTAGTCAAAAAAAACAACCAAAAGAAAATTGCAATAAATGTTATGATGCAAGGGATTTGATGAGAATAACAACACGCGTGTTTGTGACGAAGGTTATCATCATCATCATCATCATCATCATCATCATCAATATCAATATATATTAATGTCTCTCAGAGCGCTATAGGGATGTGGCACATAATTTTTCATTCAATAATGAGCGACTTGTACAAGATGGACAAAAACTTTATACGGTACCTTAATGCTTTTTAGGTTTGGCAGGGGATGAAAAAAAAAATCATATGTTTGCAGAATATGAACCTTTGACCCTGTAATATGCAGACAAGCATACCAAGCTACAAGTCTACCCTGTAATAATAAGACAACACATAAACACAGATTTGGTTAATATCAAACAATTTTAATGAAGAATTTTTTGTATATCAATAATGATAATGCGGTTGATTATGGTGTAAAATGCTGGCACACCATTAGTGATTATAGCATCAACGAACGCACTAAATGCCAACACTGAGAATGGATTTTCCCAAAGTGTCACATGGTCAAGCAAACTTGAAAACTGACCAATCAAGAATGTGCTATTCAATAGCAAGGAATACGCGCATGTCTCACAAGTGTGTAGGTTGACAATGCTTATGCTGTTTAAGGTAAACAAAAAATTAGCAACAATATCCAAAAGGTGGGGCTTAGTGAAATGGTCCGTTTCATGTTATTTGTTTTTTACCCAAATGACCACTACACTCATCAATTTGCATAATAATGTGTTAAACACAAAAAAATATATACTGTCTATGGTAAAATATGCCAAAACATTCATTGATGGTAAGGAAATGTTGGCCTAGATAAGCAGGGGTCGGTGTCATGCTATTACCTTCAGCGTTTCAACTCCGCAAAGAGCAGACCATCTGGGTAATATAAATCAACTAACCAAATATGTATGTGCAGTATGTATACAAAAAATAATGTTTCCTATCCATACAATGTGATCAGGGGCGGATCCAGAAATGTCCAAAAGGGGGGCGCCGAAAGTTGGGCCGATTGAGACAACACTGTCGTAGGGGGTCCGGTCGCATGCCCCCGTGAAATGTTTGTGTTCTAGACGCCGGAACATAACATTTGAGGCATTCTGGGCTATCATTTTTTTCTTTTTCTCTCTCTTTTTTTTTTTACCTCCCAAAAGGGGGGGGGGGGCCCCGGGCCGGGGCCCAGGGCCGGACTGGCCCCCCCCTCTAAATCCGCCCCTGGTGATAGATTATTTTCAGTGGGTGAAAAATAAAAATGTTCCATATAGTATGCTATGCCGCAGTCAGTCAAGTGCTCAGTCTTCATCACTTTATGAAAATATTACATTACATTGCATTCATAAGCACTGATTGTTTCTACATAATTCAACCGGATTTCCAACCATCTGCCGTAATACATGAATCATCTGATATGAAATGAATTGATCTTTGTAAGACTTTAACCGTCAATCTGACCCAAATCATCAAGCAAGTATCAAGAAAATAACAGATTGTAAATGGTGTTCTTATGTGATGCACGCTGTCACCGAGCCGTAACAGTCGAGCAATGTACTGCTCTTTACAATTATTCCTTTGCTGAGTTCTGATAATAGAAATAACTGGCATTTAATAATGCAATGTTTCTCTTGTCTTCCCAAAATGCATAAAATTGGCGTGCCTGATGGGAAGGCTAAATACAAAGGACGGAGAGCTGTTATTCATGAGGTAATCGATAATAGCGTCACGTTGGTGTAAAATTCAATTATTAAATCGGTGAATAAATTCTAATCATAATATTTTGAACTATTTGCACAAGTTTGGTATGGCGATTTTAATAATTACTAATCAAAAACCTAATAATTATTCAATATCGTCATGATTTTTGATTGCATCATAAAAAATAAACAATCAAAAATTATGATTGTAATAATTGTAAATACACACTTAATAACTGATCTCATTTTACAAGACATATAATAATGATTTTTAGAAAAAAATTGAGCCATTGGTTCTGCTTATGGAGCTGGCAAGAGGTTTGATTTCTCAGCTGATTTCTGGTCTGCCATTGGTGCTTTCTGTTCATCTGGTTTCATGGCAGGGAAGAGAAGAACCTCCTACAGATGCAATACAAAGAGAATATATGTAATAGAAAAATATTATATTGATGTACAGGAATAATTTATCAACAAATAGATTATCTTGAAAAAAAAAAATCCACATCAGCGCTACAAATTTATTGTATTGTATCATTTACATCATGTGGTCTTTTTATAATTTTAAGTTGTATTTTATTAATTTCTTTAAAAAAAAATTCCCTTATCCTGTTAGTCCAGTAGAATCTAGTGCTAGATATTCAATTTAACAGGTGCTAGATATTCTGTATAACAATCATCACCCGCTCTGCTGAAGTAGTGCCACCATACACGAGAAATGCAATCTTCAAACATGTTATAGAAAATGAGTTTTATTCTATATGATACACATGTTGTATGTGTCTTGTTTACCTTGATATTGTTAGAATCTGTGAGGAACATAGCGAGTCTGTCGATCCCCATGCCCCAGCCCCCAGTGGGTGGTAGTCCATACTCAAGAGCTGTGCAGAAGTTCTCATCCGTAGCCTGCGCTTCATCATCCCCTGCTTCTTTATCCTGCATGGAGATAAATTTATCCTCAATAAAGATTTCTTATTTCTCTCAAAACAAATTAAATACAAGGTACAAGATAATTTTATTGTCTGAAAAATTAGTTTCCAGTGGCAGTTTTACATCATCGTAATTATCATCATTACTTCTAAAGCTTACCTTTGCTTGCATGTCAAATCTTTCTCTTTGCACTACGGGGTCATTGAGTTCAGTGTATGCATTTACTAACTCCTTCTGCATTACAAATAGTTCAAATCTCTCTGTTAAGCCCTTAACTGACCGATGCCTGCAGACAAAAGAAGCATATAAAGTGCCTGGCACACCATCAAATTTTCTTTAAAAAAAAAACTGTTGTATGCCCATATATAGTCATGATGTGCCTATATATGGTAATAAAGTGATGTCATTATGACCATATATATTTATTTTGATAGTCTGGGTGTGGCATTAGGATCATATAATAACAAATATCTCCTATTAATCAATCCTTCACTGACCAATGCATAAAACTAAGACAAAATAAATCATATAAAATAAACGAATAAGAATGATTACATTTGTTAAAGCCCTTCACTGACTAATGTCTACAAAAGACACATAAAATTATCCAATATACCATAATCATCATCCCATACATTGCTTTGCTTACTATAGAGTAATTATCTAAACCAAGGACATGTTAAATTAGCATATTGCAATTTCATTGAATTAAGTGATTTTCTTCCAGTACTTGGACCACAATTTCTAACAGAATTATTTTAAATGGAAGCTACGATATAATGGATGGATAATTATCCGCCATTATGTAACACTACTAGTTGAGGTCCTACAGTGTAACTAATTTTTCAACATCAATTCTAATTATCTCACCAGCAAACTTCATTTACTTTAGTGTATAGTTGAGCTATTCTTGTTTAAGTCCATTAAACCAGACAATGCAGGAAAATACTTTGTTAATAGATTTATAAAATAGCTATTTTGCATTAAAAGCTTTGATTTTTTTTCCAAAATATAAGCGTTCTTTCTTTGCGTTGTAATTCTTAGCGTTCATGTTCATATATTAAACAAAGCTAATCGGATTTCTAAAATATAAGCAACTTTTCTTTATTTGATTGTAATCACCTTCCAGATTAATCTATCTTATCTTATCTACTCCACATCTTCAATTTTATTATCACATAAAGCTGCCTATACCATATTAAACTCTAATGAAAGTAGTGCGCTAAAAAGGAAATGCCATTAATAAAGAATTGAATTAAACATTTTCATACCATTTAGATAGAGGGCTCATTATCTCAGGATGGTCCATTATGAATGTGGGGTTGATACAGGTGGGTTCTATATAATCTCCAACCAACTGAAAATAATTAAAAATACATTAGTTAATCAAAGTTACATTAGTAGACTTGTAATTTTCTGAAAACAATATTCCCAAACAGTTGAGTTAAAAATATACAAAGGCAGCTATCAAAAAAAAAATTTAACTAAAACCTGAATTGCCATATTTAAAGATTACATTGAAATTTAATTGTAATAAAACAAAATATCATTAAAAGAGCATTTATATATTTTGAATTTAAAATTTATAAATCTATTTATATATTTATTTAAGCATTTATAGATTTTGAATTTAAAATTTCACTTCTTGACAGTACACATATCAATCATCATTTAATAATTTAACACATTACATAACAATATTTTGAACCATTCCATCATTTAGATCACGAACAAATATATTATATCAGTTATAAGTCAAATTTTCATTAAATAGGTTAAGGAAAATGTTTTGAGACCTATAAAACAGATACATAAAAGCTAAACAATATTATGATTATAATTATTATTACAATAATTATAATATTACAATCATCATTGCTTCTATAAGATGAAAAGCCAATTTCAAAACAAAAGGATAAAATTCTCTTACTGCCCATTTCTGCAGCTTTGGCTTAAAGGATCAGTTTGTGCATTCATTTTTTTAACTTTTGTCATAATTATCACTTACAAAAAATATGTATTTGTCTAATTTTTCGTATTTCTTTAATGAACAGTCATTACCTTATCTATGAGCCTTGCAGTAGTCCGCGGTGGTGCGCATTCACATTGCAGCTCGACACAAAGTTTATCGAGAAATTCACAAGTTTCTGTAAGACAAGGACAATTGGTTGATAATCAATATAATACTTTTTGTAGTAAAAGATCTGTAAATCAGCAAAAAATTTTGGAACTGTCTTATCTCAAGTAGCGTATTTATTCAAATTAATACCCCACTTTGGATAAACGCCGCCTTTAGAGCCTCATTTGGAAAAAAACGCCTTCCTTGAATAAAGGCCCTGAGGCGTTCATCATTTTTTCCTTAAATAAACGACCCCCCCCCACCACAACAAATGACTGTAAACAAAGCTAATGGAAGCAAACGTCATCAATCTTAATACATTCTATTAATGTTCTATTCCAGAAGAATTAGATTTTTTCTAACCTGGTTGAAATCAATAAAGTCTTAATAACACATTCTGATAGTAATTGTGTGTTGTAGATCCACATTTACAGTCAGATTAAGAGGTGTTTATTTGAGTATATATGTATCCATTTTACACCAAAGAAAATAAATTCCTCCCTTAAATAAATTACCCCTCAAAAACCCTTCTCAACAATAAAGGCCCTGGGCAATTATTCGAATAAATACATTAAATATATGATGCTTTTTTAATAAGCAATATATTGCTTTAAATATAATTTTTAAGAATTTCCAGATTTATTTTGGATTTTCAATTATTCTTTCAATGAAAATGATACCTTCAGTATGAAGTTGGTCTACAGGTGGGAACTTTTTCTTGAGTATCTTCTCTAGCTCTGCGATCATGCTGACACGACGGAACGGTGGTGAGAAATCTATTTCCATGGCCTGGCCCTCAGGACCATCAGGATGGTATGTGACTTTGTTACCGCCAGTCAAGTACTTGACCATTCCTAAAAATGACAAGTTTACAGGTATAGAGTACAGAAGTGACAATATCACAGAGCCAGTTGGTTCCATAAATTGCTAAGGCGAGACTTTATACTTGTTTAGCGAACCCGCCGACTGATGATTTCTAATAAAAATAAAATTTTATTTTTAGCCAATTAGCACACCGGAAAAAGTGGAAATTTCAGAAAAAAATAAAATTAAAAACAAATTTTTATTACACCCTCCACTGTCTTGAAATCTCCAAAGATAAGATATGTACAGTATATGTCTTCCTAATTACATCAATTTGAAGCATTTAACCATCCTATTTTACATTCACCAATAAAATCTTATTTTTATTTTTTCCTCTGTCTGGATGATTTTGGCAAAACTATTTCCTAAATTAGAAAACAAAATTTTTTTAAATTTATATTCTGCCCTCCTCCGATAATCTTTAAAAAACAAAAGTATGTGAAACAAGGAATAAAAAAGTCTCGCCTAATCTGTGTCACATGATCACTGTAATAAGAAGAGGATGACAACCTTTGAAGAACACTAATATTAAGATTTATTCAACGTTAAATCTCTGAAGTAACAATTCAATCATGGCATATATCGTACGACCCAAACTTGCACGCTGAACGCGAGTGCATAGCAACAAGTAATAAAAGTGGTTAACTATAGAGGGCGCTATATTCTTACAATCACTACTATATTCAAGCTCTTCGGCGCTGCATAGGAGCAGTTTGGCGGAGCAGTTGTGGTTCTGGCTCTGAACATTGAGGTCGGAGGTTCAATCCTTCGCTGTGCATTTTGCTCCTGTCCTTAGGCAAGGCACTAACACACTTATCTACGACTGTCTCTCTCCATCCAAGAGTGGGTACCTGGTAGGTTCAAACATAAAATAGGCTGATTACAGCTGTGACATTATAGAATTTTCCCCAGGAAGTTGATTATCTGCTCCGTATGTTCTTGATCCAATGGGTTGGGGGGTGAAGCGTTTTTTGGCAAGAAGTGCTATATAAGTTTAACATATTATTATTATGCCTGTCACTAAATCCATCTATTGTTATAAACAAAATTATAATCTTGGGAGATTTAAATGGTCATGTGGGTAACTTAATCAATGGTGGAGATCCTGATTTTAATTTTAATGGTCAAAGCCTTATTGACTTTTGTGAAAATTGTAAACAGATTATGCTTAATGGTAGTGACAAATGCAAAGGTACTTTCACTAGAACAAATACAGACCAAGTAAGCGTTGTTGATTATGTGCTATTTTCTAATAGTGTATATGACTCAACACATGAACTTCTTGTTGATGATTATGGTTTATTTTATCTAGGTAGTGACCACAATCTAATCTAGTCTATGACTAAACCTCATAGTATTGAATCTAAACATCAAATTAATTCTGAAAAAATTCATTGGCGTAGCCTGAAAATTGGAATGAGTTGAAGGAAAACATTTTTGAAATTTTTGAAAATTGGGACCAAAATGGCCTGAATGCTAATGAAGCTTGGGAACAATCGAAAAGAAAAGTACTTTATGGATCATCAAATATACTTGGGCAAAAGAAAAAGAAAACTAATCATAAATTTTTGCTTGATAAAGAAGTTGATTTATGTATCAAACAGTGTCAATTAGCGTGTAGACGACATCGCCAATATTTAAAAGAAAAATTAAATCCAGATTTTAATTTAAATTACTGTAAAACACTATGGAAGGATTACCAAAGTAAACGCAGAAATTGCAAATCTATAATTAAACAAAATGGGTGAATAGATGTTCACATATAATGGAAAATGACGGTGCCAAACTTTGAAGATGTTATCAAAAAAGGGTAACAAAATACAGTAGTAGCATGCCATATATTCAGTCAACTATTGATGGTCAAGATGACTTCAATAGGGTTTATTATGGTGATTTGCTGTGGAAGACAATAGGACTTCCTTAAATAAACTATGCATTCTCTGTTTGGGTTCCAGGTGATAAAAATCAATTAATAAATTAGAAATCCTACAATATCAGATGGCCAAGGCAATTTTAATAGCACCCAGAAATGTAGCCAATGAAGCATTACTTGGTGATTTGGGATGGAATTCCATTGAAACAATATAGAACATATATAGAATAAAATATTTTAATAGGCTTAAGACAATGGAGGATGGTGGATGGCCTAGGTTGTTGTGTGAAGTACTTTTGGAGGTTACATCTACTACAAGATGGAAGTGGATCGACAATGTATAAACAATTCTAGCTAAATATGATTTAAATGAAAAATTTAACCTGGAACCACATAACTACATATGGTTAAATTCTTGTAATGAAAAGAGCTTAGATAATAATGATAAATGGCCTAAAAATGCAAATTCCAAAAAATCATTAACTGATTATTTAAAGTACAGAAATGCACCTATTATGGAATACTATCTTTTGGATAAAGTAAATTTTCAAGGTATAAATCTAAAATTCTAAGCAAGAACCAATACTTTGGAAATTGAAGGCAAAAAAACAGTTATTTTAATATAATTATTCTGGCTATTGTGTTATCTGCAAAAGTAAGAAAATAGAAGCAGTCGATCATCGCCTCTTTGATTGTGAAAGTTTATCCACCATAAGAAATATATGCTTTAGCAACCTAAAAAATGATTTATATAATGTTAATGAATATTGGGATATTTTTGTGGAAGGTTCAAAGAAATTTAAACATCATCTACTTCTAGACAATATTTATAATATTTATAAAGATGAAAAAATGTGTTTGTTTTTTGATAAACATTGTAAATCTTTTTATCCAAGGCCAGTGCTCATAGACATTAATTAATGAAAGAAATTACCACCATTTAATTTTTAATTTATTTTAATTTTTTTTTTATTTTTTAATATCTTGAATGTAAACAGTTGTTTTGCACTCAGTTTTAACTTTGTATTTTGATTTATATTGTTTTCTATCTTTCTTATATTGTATTATCTGGGTTGAACCTCTCCTGTGCAAGAGTGTTCCTCCGTTTTAAAGGAGAGTACCAATAAATCGTATCGTATCGTTGACTTACCTACACATGATAAAACTATTTGTGAATATAAAAACAAAAAAATATTTTCTCAATTTTCTCACCTGACAACATTGACTCGGTAATTGTCATGAGGTCGTTGTAGTCAGCATAAGCCATGTAGAACTCGCAGGTTGTAAACTCTGGGTTGTGGGTCATATCGATACCCTCGTTACGGAATTGTCTGCCAATCTCATAGACTCTATCGATTCCACCAACTACCAACATCTAAAAGGACACAGAAAAATTAATATTATCAACACTATTATTATTTTTTTTCATATATAATTCTTCTTATTTATTTTTTGACTTTGTTGTATTTGAGAATTTCCTAATGGAAGCACACAGAGGGAAAATAATCACTATAAATGGATCAGTATATACAAAACACAATTATAACTATAAAAATATAATTCAAGTGACTTTTTACCACCCATACTTTCATCAGCACTAACGCGCATTGAGATATTTAAAAAATATTTATACACTAATCAAAAATGGTATTACAGTATTATTATTTTCATTATGTATGTGGCAAAGACAAGGCAAACCAGTGACTCTTCGCAATTCATGTTTCTAAAATAAGGCCAAAACATTTTGAAATGTTACAATTTTATATATTTTTTTTATTGCATTAAACTAACCTTTATATTATATCTATACATGTCTACATATCATGCAATGTTGTTATTTTCCCTATTTGCAAAGTCAAAACAACATTTTCAAAGATTTTTCAAAGAATTTCCGAAAATTATAAACTTTGAAGGCTGAATTCTCAAATACTGTTCTTAAAATCGCTGTATGTTTTCACTCCTGTACCTTCACAATAAAATACTGAGATATAATGATTCTTCCACAACTTTATAAATTTAATTTTACTGTTTAATCCTCTATTAATAACTCAAAATAAATTTTTGGTGAGCAATAACTGGTGTGGCTGGTCTTTGCCACATACTAGCGTGTATTATATGGATATTTTTATTTACTAATATCACTAACTACCCATTATACACACCTTGTGGTAAAGTTCAGGGGCGACACGCATAAACAGGTCCATATTCAACTCGTTGTGATGTGTGATAAATGGCTTGGCTGTTGCACCACCAGCTATCATATTCATCATTGGTGTCTCGATCTACATATTAGAATTCATAAAATAATAATAATAGCAAGAGAAATATAGATATGTTTCATAAAAACATCTTATCACAGTAATAGTATCAGCATTTTTTTTAAAACCATGTACAGTACCTCAAGGAAACCCATGCCATCAAGAAATTTGCGAACATAAGCTACTATTTTAGCACGGGTGATAAACTTCTGTCGGACATAATCATTCATAATCAAATCCAAGTACCGCTGACGAAATCGGGTTTCCTGAAATGAAAGTAAGGAGAAATCAACAAATTTGAGCAAAATCAAATTCAAAACCATAGATATTAAATAAGAGAAACAAAAAATTACCTCATTATTTCAGATTGCAATTGCAAAAGCAAGCCAAATGGCCTAGCGGTTAAGGCAGGGGCACCGTAATCATAGCCAACAATATCGGCACAGGTTCGCGGTCGGCTCGCTCATATAGTTCTTGTGGTGGAACAAGTCGTCTTCTCGGATAAGGACTATAAACCGTAGGCCCAGTGTACACAAATGCTCATGTGCACTTTAAAGAACCCAGTACATCTTTCGAGATGAGTAGGGGGTTACCCCGGTGTACTGGTTCACTCGGCCCCTGTCGTGTACTAGGCCCTCTGGGAGAACAGTAATTTGTTACTAAAGAGGAAACTCAGTACAAAGAACAAATAAATAAATAAAAAATAAAAAATAAAATAAGTAAAATCTATGGATAACCGAAAAGGAGATTAAGTAGTGCACCTTACGATGATCCGCAGATTACATTACGACTAAGATAAACTTACCTTGTTCGTTAATCCAAAATGCAGATGAGGTAACATGTGTAAACAAGGTGACAACAAGGTCATAGTTTGTGGAATGATGCTCAGTTCCCCCTTCTTGGTTTTGCCTGCAAGAAACCAAATATCAAAGAGTGATCATAAACTTGAGAACCTAAAGTAGACCAAAAACAAAATCTATACGATTATACAGGAAACAAATAAAGTGGTTTGATTATTTTTTTTGCTTGTGTCCTTTTTACTATTTATGAAATATTAGTTCTGTTTGCAAACAAAAACTCTTTGCACAAGCAATCTGTACCTCTATTAGGAACAAAGCAGACATTAAAAAATGGAGTGACAGTGAAAGTTGTTCCCATTTACACTGAATCAAGTTGCAAACAAGTTTCAAGTTTATGAATAGACCGAATCGGCGACTCCAGCTATTTTTACTCATGTGACATATAGTGGGTACAAAATATAAACATACACATCATAAACCACAGTGCGCTCATTCAACACAGTATATTGAGAGAGTTATTATGTTTTTTTAGACAGCGACCCAAAGTAAAGTAAGGCAGTAGGCCTATGTTTCTTTTTAAGTACTGATTTATAATTATTTTGGCAATCTCTGTGCATTTTATTTAGGCTCTGGAATGCCGCTAGTGTACAGTAGGCTCCATACTTACTGGAGCAATATGCACGTCGCGAAGGTACCGTACCTTTCCTTGAAAAACTTCCAGGCTTTATTCCCACTATCCATTGGAGCCTTACCAAACCAAACTGATAAGTATTTGAAAATTTAATTTTGGGACACTTCTAAGTGATTTACCAAATTATAACTCGCATTGCAACCAATATTTGCAACATGTGATGTGACTTACATCAACAAGGCGAAGCCATATTCAATGCACTGTCGTCTCGCGATGTAAACAAACCCTAATACCCACTTTAAGTCACGTGACCCGAGCCGCCGGTTCGGTCTACTGGATATAGTGTTGCTGATGGTGTAACAGTGCTTTATGCCTGCATTGCATTGAATCAGTGTACATGAATGTCACTAATTATTTGAGATCATCTAACCTGGATTTCCAACAATACCAACAATATCTCCTCTTCTTAATTTATCATTGATTTTGAAGAATTCATCCTCTGAGGTGTAATTCCTGGAGATAAAAAAATAGTCAATCAGAATATGAACTTTTTCTTTGTTTTAAGGAGATCAACGGAAACAATATTTCTTTTGTACCTTTCTTGGGTCATCCTTAGTTCCATGTCTTGTTTTCTGTGTCAATATTTACTTTGCATTTTTATATTTACTGATAAAATCAATCAATCAACTTGTGTATCACCATAAGTAATAATTGAATTTCTAATTGTGATATTCAGATTCAAGTGTTCAAATAATGTAAAAATGAAAGTCACTTTGTTGCAACTAAATTTCAGCACCACAAAAAAACACAAAGTATTTTGAGTCTGTTTTTTTATTCTATACTACACAAAAGAGTGCGTAACAACCATTGCCCACAATAAATACATTACTTCGTTTAATCTTGGTGGTGATTGCCAAAAAATAGTTGGAAATAGAAATATACTTACTTGGCATTTGCCATGACTTGCAGTTTCTTGCCCTCTGACCTAAGGTCATAAAATATCAATTTGTTGCCCTGCAACCTTTTCGCATGTATTCGACCTGAGATCAAACACAGAAAACATTAATTGACGTCATATTACTATTAATATTGTTATTGAATGACAGACATCAATACTTCTAGACAAGACTGAACATGTCAAAGAAATCAATATATTTTAGAGATTTCATATAATTTACCTATTTTCTCTTGTAATTTGTTTATGGGACTGACAATACAATATTCAAATGGTTTCAGATATAAGTGCAATGGTGATTGCCTGTTTATAATTTTCAAGAAATCATGAGATGTCACAGATTTCAGATTGTTTAACTTAATTTCTCTGGTCATTGGTTTACAGGACTAACATTAGAATATTTTAATTGTTTCAGTTCCAAAGCAAATGGTTACTGCCTTTTATAATTTTCACAATACAATCCTAGACTGCTCATTATTGTTACATAACCTTAGCATCTATAATACATACAAAACATGCTTCAAATGCTGGCAGCCTATATATTTTAAACATTCACAGATTATAATAAATGTGTTTTAATTTCTGTGTGAAGTACTACAAAAACTGCAATAATATTTTTTTACTATTACTTAATCTATAAATTACATGGAGATTATTACTTGCCTCTGCTATCTAAATAGTAATATAATTTACTTTACAGTGAATGTTAGAGTCCAAATGACCAAAAAAGACTATTAGAAGGCAACTTAAATTACTATTATTATTTTAATATACAATTAATCTGTCACACCTGCCAAGTTGACAACATCTTCTAATTGCTGTCCAACCTCAGTGTCCTGGTACTTATCAATGAACTCAGATAATGAAATGGACACATGGAATTTATGGGGGTAAGGGGAATCCCCTGCAGCTTTCAGCTCTGCAACTGCCTTTGACCTTATCTTAAAGTATTGCTGTAAACAGAAAATGTAAGATAAATGTAAAACATACACTTTTTTAGTGCTACATAGGTTGTTATTTTAATCTTTTAAAGAAAAGCATAATATAATAATGCACTTGTCAAATGTAGTCCGGCCCCTGGGACCAGTGGGGAGTTCCCCGGGATGTACATTTCCAAACAGAGTAGACTTCCCGGCCCTTTGCAGACCATATTACAACCCCGGGTCAGTAACAGAAACTTTTTTGGTCTACAGGGAAACAAATATCTGTACATCCCAGGCCTAGTCCCAGCCAATTCCCCGCTATGGCCCGGGTCTGGGGCCCAGACTACAATTGACAAGTGCATAAGTTTTAAGAGATGCTGACACAATAATATGAGCCCACAATTATCATTAAATGCATATTTAAATAATTTATCAGCAGTACAGTGCACATAACTGTGATGTGACAACATAACCCAAACCCCCACCCATCCCCATCCCATAGCATAAAGTATTTAAAAACAAAAAGAAAATGAAATTATTAAATAATAGCTTTTACATTTGGATCCAAAGTCTCTTCATCTTCAGATATTTTCTTTGGGGCATTGGTAGCTGGTTTGTTCTTAGCCTCTTCCTGTGCCAGTCTTGCTTTCTCTTCTTTCTCCTTTGCCTTCTTTTCTGCTTTCGCTCTCCTCTTCTGTTCACTAGCATAAAATAGAAATGTTGTTAGTACATTCTACATTATTATAAATTCATTAATTTTTATTAGCTTTACATTGACAATTTATGAAATCAAATGCTGAGAAAATAATTCAGCAGAATTTATTTAAAAGTTTTAACAACAAATTTTAACATAATTTTTTAATGAATGAGTATTCTAATTAACTAGATAGCAGGAAATGAACAAGACTCAGGTAACCCCGCCTTCCTACCACTAACCTGCTATAATTGCGTAGGTAAAATGTATTTCTACCATCAACACTGCACACCACATGATGGCCTAATGAATTTCTCCTCGCCTGCCGTGTGAGCAGGCATATTTTCTCACAGTGTGGTAAGGTAATACGCGAGGCACGCAAGGCTAGGCTCAACATTTGGGTCAAGTTCATTTCTTGCTAGGCCTGTATGTAGCACAAGAAAGCAAATTAACTACAGTAGTACAGTGATGATCAATATGGTTGTCAGCAATTCAATTGTGGAAACAATAAACATTAAAGAAAAAATGCAAAACAAAGTGATTCAATGTCACACTGACATATTATTTATATATGAATTTGGCACACAATATATTGTATACCATAAAGTATGTGTGTTGACTATCCATAATTTCAGTGTGTTGCATCATCACTGGCCTCATTAAATTGTTGGTATTAAAATTACTGCAGATGGTGTAAACAATAACCATGGACACCAACTTTAAGTTCAAGGCACAAGATTGTTTAATTGCTGGAGAGTTGACTGGTTAAGCCTTTGTCACCCCTCCTCCAACCTTGACATTAACTGACAATTTATGTTGTTTTTTTCTATAATATAAATATACACAAGACCTACAGAAGTTACTGTAAATATTACCTAATTTCGAAATATTCCCATCAACATTGAAATTTCCAGAAGCAATAGGCATGCATTCTGATCCAAGAACCGAAAGGTCCACTGATTAATCTCAGATAAGAAAGTATAATACATACTTCAAGTATTGAAATACACGCCATCGTGTTGGGATTCAATATTTCAACATTAATTATGTCATCATCAGGAATGAACCAAGAAAGAACCAAGGTATATAAAAGTAAGGAACACACACATTTTAGGGTAATTAGTATTATTAATTAGGCCTTGCCTATTACTGTTAATGTTATATCATCATCACTTTGTTTGTTTGGAAACTCCTGAAAATGAATATCTTGCTTGCTGTATCTGTATGCATGGCTTACTGCACAGAATCTCACATCTGAGTATATTAGTGCAGGCGCAGAGTTTTTTTTTTCGAGACAATGTGGACCGTCCATAAATTTCTCCAAGTTTGATTTAGATTAATGATTTTAAATTTATTAATATTAATTATTATTATTATTTTGTTTGTTTTTATCAAAAATCAGTGCACTGTTAGTGATTTGCTTACAGATAAATCAGTTAGTGATTTGCTTACAGATAAATCAAAATATATGTTGATTTCAGTGCAAATGTTTGATGTGCGAATTGTTATTTGCACATCTCACATTTGCTTATGCAGCAGGATAGCATTTGTTTAAACATAGTTACAAATGGCAAGATTAAGAAAAAAGAAAATCTTATCTTGACCTGACAAAAAGTAAGGGGAAAGATTAAAGCCCCATTCCCGGCAAAATTTCACTAAAAAAGATTTTTTTAAAGAAAAAATGCATATGCATACTCTATTTATTATAAACAATGGAAAAATATTGGCATAAATTTTAGTTTCACGCAAAAGAATTTAAAAAAAGAGAAATACAGACTATTTCTCATAGGAGATTACCTTTTTCTCAACGAATTCTTCATTACTAGGCAAATTCAGAGGTTGTAGATTGCATCTCCTTTTTTTCTTTTTTTTCCGCTTTTATGTATACTTTATACAGTCAATAAAGTGCACCCTCTCTAATGAAATTGGTTTTTGTACTTCGCATCTCGCACACTGCGATCGATCAAGTAGGCCTGAGATATGTTCATTTAATTGTCAAAATCTCGGTTAGAATCGTTTTTTTAACAGATTTGAAATAATTCCTATGAAATATTATATTTCACAAGTGTCAATACTAGCAACGAAAAATATCATGTCGGCCGTTTTTATGTGTGATAACAGAACCTAAATCAAGGTAAGGCTAGGCCTAGCCTAGTAGTGTTGGATAGGCTAATGTTTTCGGCGCCTACTATGTTTCTTCGCAGACCTATCGCAAAATCAAACATGAAAAATCCATCCGCATTTATTTTTTGTGTGGAACACAAAAAAATCAAATTTCAGTCTTAATATTTTACATTTTTTTCATGTTTAGGAATGTCTAAATTCAGTTAAATTAGCAATTTCGAATTACATTTATAAATCTTTATAACATTATATAAAAATAAGATTTTTCTTAACAACTGAAATCTTGCCGGAAATGGGGCTTTAAATTAATTATTTACAAAGACTGATTTGATTGGCATTTTGGGTCAGATTTCATTATCAGGAATCAGATAATACAGATTCATAAAACGTTAATAAATTATTAGAAAAGGTTGAAGTTTTGCTCTAGTGGCCATCCATATGGAAACAGCCTCTATGCCACAGTAGGCTAACACTTGTCACTCACTGGCTAGCTAAGTCAGTCGGTCACTAATTAATAGTCTGTGCCTAGCCTAGCCTAGCTCTCATCTGGATTCTGGGCCCAGGGTTGTCGCACACCTTGAGAGACCTAGGGCCTAGAAAATTCGTTAAATAAACCAACGAAGCACGCGTTCATGCGCCATATGCAAATACAAACATTTAATCAAAAGCAATTCTACTTATGTAGATTTAATTAGAAATATACTTACCTTTTACTGATCTTGTCACTGCCGGTATCTGCCATGCTCTTTCTTCGGACACGCCGCGTACAACAATGATGAAATTTTATAAAATATTTGAGGTAAAACGCGTTAACAGAACACTTAACTCGTTTACGCACGTGACTTGACGCGTTTGCAAACTAACATAATGAATAAGAATCAGACAATTAAAGTCCCCTCTACCATGGAGGAATTAGTTTGCCTCTACAGAATTTTTAATTGTTATATTTTTGGTGTTATAGTGTATTGATAGGCCTAATATGGATCCTTCCTAATGCTCGCCGATCACAACAATGATGAAATTTTATGAAATATGATTGCAATGCGTCGCAAAGGGGCGGCGCCAGCGGGGAAATCCCCTTGTTTTGGAAGACACTGATCGTCCATTGTAAACAACCCCCTGTTTACATGCCATGCTGAGGACTGAAAATATCAACTTGACGTTTTAAAGAAAGTTAATGTGATTGCTAATCCCTATCTAGAAAAAACTCAAATTTGGCCCTATCTAAACCATAAGATCTGTCCTCCCATAGTTGAAACCTCCTGGGTACGGTACCCTCTGCGAAGCTCTTGTTGTCTTTTCGGACCCCTTTTCAGACCCACTGCTCGACTTGGACTCCCCTGTCGGCAAATACTTGGGGCCACCCACTGGTTAAAGCGACATTTAACTCCTTTACACGTTAACTTGACGAGTTTGCAAAAATAAAAAATATTAAGATATATATGCCTAGGCCTCCTATTGTAAAGTTAAAGCCTAAATTGTATATTTCAAGATGTACTATCATCATTCATGAGGTAAAAAATGAAAAATTTAATTCCAAATTTGATTTTTTTTTTGTATATTTAAGTCGGGCCTACGTTTAAATTCAAAATAAAAATTTGAAAAAAAAAAATCCCCCGTCAATTTTCGGACAGTTAAATAGTAACTTTCCTCTATTGTGGGCGATTTAAGGATTCCTGCAGTAAATGTTTGTAAATCGGTAAATACTTTTTTTCGATCTGTTTCTCGTTGGAAGCTAATAATCTTTATGATCCTTTCAAATAAGCTATTCAACATTTTATTTGAATTTCTGAGGTATTTTCCTGTATTTTAATTTGACTGATAGTACATTAAAGTACATTCTTAGTATTTCAGTTGAAAACTTTTAACTAAGCATAAATAATATTACCGTAATTGGCTGGTAGAGTGTAAATCAGCGCTAATTTAATTGAAGTTGAATGTCTAATTGTAACACAGTGTTTTAATTGAATGTAGTTTCTCCTATTCAGATCCTGAGAGAGTAAATGTCTATAAAATTACTTAAAATGGATTTAGGCATTATCCGCGGTAGAGACAGTCCTCCTTCTCTGCTCCGAAATGTGTGCAGTGTTCTTTTAGTGTATAATACACATTCATGCTCATTTAAAGTATGGAGAATATAAATGAAGGGCTGATGGGGGCAGGGAGGTCTGATTGTGCGGGGCTCGATGACTAAGTGAGTTGGTGGGTGTTAGCTAGCTGGCAAAAATATGGTATTATGAGGTAAATTGAGGGTCATTTTTTTTTTTTTTGTTTAAAAAATTTCCAGTTGGTGCGTCTGCGTGGTGCCAGCTTAGTGGAGTGTGGGGGGGGGGGGGGGGGGGGGGGGGGGGGGTGGTGTCCTACAATCCTCCTGCTCACCCCAGTAGATAGGGCCTACCCCATTGGTAATAGGCTAGGCAATTTATTAAGGTAATTAGTCACTTGGCAGTATAACCGAAAATAATGTGAGAACTGCCATCCTAAGCCACCATCACTAAAACATGGTTCTGACATATTTTTTAATACATTTTTTTTTCACGGGTAGGCTCGTTGTAAATTTATTTGAAACCTGCCCATCACAAAGCGGGCGCGTGTGTAAGGGAGCACCCGGGTGGCCGAGTGGTTAAGGCGTTGGATTTAAGTTCCAATGGACGTATGTCCGCATGGGTTCGAACCCCATCCCTGGTATAATTCTTTTACCTTAATTCTATGTTTAGTTTGACATGCGTAACTATATGCTAATTTTAGACAAGAAATATATAGGGCCTACAGTTCATGTTTGCAGATTTTCTTTCAGTGTATAATACACATTCATGCTCATTTAAAGTATGGAGTATATAAATGAAGGGCTGATGGGGGCAGGGAGATCTGATTGTGTGGGGCTCGATGACTAAGTGAGTTGGTGTTAGCTATCTGGCAAAAATATGGTATTATGAGGTAAATTGAGCGTCATTTTTTTTTTTTTTTTTTAAATTTCCAGTTGGTGCGTCTGCGTGGTGCCAGCTTAGTGGGGTGTGTGTGGGGTGGAGGGGGGGTGGTGCCCTACAATCCCCCTCCTCACCCTAGTAGATAGGGCCTACCCCATTGGTAATAGGCTAGGCAATTTATTAAGGTAATTAGTCACTTGGCAGTATAACCGAAAATACTGTGAGAACTGCCATCCTAAGCCACCATCACTAAAACATGGTTCTGACATATTTTTTAATACATTTTTTTTTTCACGGGTAGGCTCGTTGTAAATTTATTTGAAACCTGCCCATCACAAAGGCGGGCGCGTGTGTAAGAGAGCACCCGGGTGGCCGAGTGGTTGAGGCGTTGGATTTAAGTTCCAATGGACGTATGTCCGCATGGGTTCGAACCCCATCCCTGGTATAATTCTTTTACCTTAATTTTATGTTTAGTTTGACATGAGTAACTATATGCTAATTTTAGACAAGAAATATATAGGGCCTACAGTTCACCCTCCAATTCGAGACCACTTTGGGACCCGAAAATCATTGGGGTGGTCTCGGGGTTATTCTCCAATTAGAGGGCTATCTTTGTGTTTAAAAGTTTGAAGATTGTTACTGGGTCTTCGGAAAAGTGGTTTCAAATTACAGTATTATTGAACAAATCTTTATGAAAGCTAGCAAAATACAAAACTTAACCATACATTATCACATGTCTGAAATTTTAAAAGACCTGTGCTGGGATTTATGGATTTAAGACGAAGAATTTAAGCAAAGTTTTACGTTAAGTAAGTTTGATAAATCCAACCCCTAATAATGTAGTAAAACCAATCAAAAATGATTTCGCGGAAGATGGGTTAAATTTTATGGTAGATTTTTTTTTACTTGTGAGAGCCCGCAACTTAGGAATTGGGACCACAGGCGTACTTTCTGCCGTTACACTAACCACAGCTACGGGGTACGGTATCAGGTCCGGTGTTTGAACATTATAGGTAGTGAATTTTTCTCTGCATGCACTCCAATTCTGTTCACAACTTAATAACATTGGTACGCGGGCGTCTTCACTATGCCTGTAGCCATAGGAATTATCCATGGTAACGGCGTGTTTACAAACACACATAAGGAAAAAGCGTAGGATCACTATTAATAAGAAACTTGCTAACTTTATGTCGGTTTACATCATTTAGCATTATTAAAGCAATAGGTCTACACGATAAAAAAAAATAAATAAATAGATAGATATGGATCCAGGAGAGACAGGAAAGACTATGTCAAATTATGGGAAAAAAATACCCACACCTGAGGAAGTGAAACTAAGATGGATAGAAATTGTGCGGGTGAGTCGTTTTTCATACTCGATCGTATCTATGGTT